ACAAAAAAACGTTTTAGTGCTTCCCTTACCTACAAAATGAAAAAGGTGAGAAAACAACTTCAAACACAAACCTTTATCTACCTATCTATCTGTTTATCTGTCTGTCTTTCTACGTCTCCGGTCCATCTTGTAAATGTTTATTCAACTGTCCAATGGTTTTAAAGCCTGTATGTATGTATGTATGTAAATATTTATACACCTACATCCATTTACTTGTCTCCCTCTCTCCTCTCATTCTCTCCTTCTCTCCCTACCTCCCTCTTTTCTCTGTATTAAGGCCAGCAACACCATAGGGAAAAAGACGAAGGAAAAAACAGCGGACAGATAACAGCAGAAAACAGAATAAATAGAGAAGATAAAGGAAGAGAGAAAATAGTAGAATTAGCACAGGAGAAACACAGAAAATAAGAAACAGGTACAAAGAAGTGAGAAAGCAAAAGCAGAAAAAAAACAGATAACACAAAGCAGGAAAAGCAACAGGAAAATGAAAAAGCTGTAAAGAAGAGAGAAGCAGAAAGCAGAATGCAGGATAATGATAATAATAATAGTAATAATGATAATAATAATAATGATAATAATAATAATAATAATAATAATAATAATAATAATAATAATAATAGAGAATAAAATAATGATAATAATAATAGTAACAATATATACACTACAATAACAAAACCTTCACCAACAATAACAACAAACAACAACAAAAACACCAACAGAGGAAATAAATAAAAATGAAAACAGTAGAAACAGAGAGAGAGAAAAAAACAACAACAGAAAAAGACAACAGCCACCCCCCCCAAAAAAAAAGAAAAAAAGAAAGCAAAAAGAAAACAAAAAGCAGAAAGAAATAGAAGCAGGAGAAACAGAGGATAAAACACCTGGGAAAGTACCACGGATTTCCTCTCGCGCTGGTCGCCTTTAGTCTGTACCCCTGGACGCTTGGCTCTCTTCAGACCCTCAAAAATTTTATTAGTTTTATTATTAGTTTTATCATTTGTTTTATTATTATTATTATTATTATTATTATTATTATTACTATTATCATTATTATTATTATTATTATTATTATTGTTGTTATTATCATTATTATTATTATTATTATTATTGTTGGTGTTGATATTATTATTATTTTTGTCATTATTACTATTATATTTGTTATTATTGGTAGTTATTAGTAGCAGTAGTAGTATTAGTTGCATCATTAATATAATGATAATAACACTAATGATAATATTAATATTAATAATAATAATAATAATAATAACACTAATGATAATAATAATAATAATAATAATAATATCAATAATAATAATAAAGATAACCGTTATTATTATTGTCATTATTATTACTATTATTACTATTATTATTATTATTATTATATTTATTATCATTATTATTATTATCATTATTATTATTATTTTCATTATTATCGTTTTTTTCATCATCATTATTATGATAACTCTTATTATTATTGTCATTACTATTATTGTTATTACTGTTATCATCATTATCCTTATTATCGTTAGTTATTATTATTAGTAGTAGTATTAACGTTATTGTTGTTGTTTCTGTCATTATCACTTTCATTATTATCATCAGTGGTAGTAGTAGTAGTACTTCTAGTAATATTTTGATTATCATTATTATCATGATCATTATTATTAATATCCTAAATATTGCTACTATTGTTATTGCTATTATTATCATTATCATTATTAGCTGTTGTTATTATTATCTTTATTACTATTATCATTATTACTATTATTTGTGTTATTATCACCATTATTATTATTATTATCATTATTATTATTATTATTATTATCATTATCATTATTATTATTATCATTATTTGTATCATTATTATTATTAATCATTATGATGAAGATAATGATGATGGTGATGATGATGATGGTAATAGTAATAGTCATGATAATGGTGACGATGATGATGTTATGGTGATAATGACAATGTTAGTGATAATAATCATCATTAACAACCTCCTCATGATGACTATTTATACAAGTCTCACCCCAAAAAACAGAAATTACGTTTTCTATATCTACTTGCATTTAGATGACCAATTCTCATTTTTTAAGATAAAAGAAATGCACAGGATACTGACGACTGTTACGAGAAAAAATAATTACATCCCGTAAGAGAACATACAATTTTGTTAATGTTTTGAACCAAAAACAATATCAGGGGTAACGGTGATAAGGTATACATTTTTTACCTCGTGTCGAATTTGACATAGTTACAGAATATTATAGCCAGAAAAAACGATTAATAAAAGAGAGAGGGAGAGACAGACATAAAAAAAGAAAAAAACAGAGATAACAAACACACGAAAACATGGAAGAAAAAAAGAAAAAAGAAAAACAGAAGAAAAACAGAAAATACATATTCAAAACACTGGGACTTACCTCAGGGAACTTCTTGAGAGCCTTGAGACCGAATCCGTAGGACTTGACTTGGTTCTGGCTGGCAGACATGGTGG